CTATTTGTCAATTCCGAATGAATTAATCAATCATTATCGTCTCAATATCGACTTTATTCACTAAATATCGTGCAAATGACAGCGAATTATTTTGGGAAGAAGTTCAAAGAGAATCGAAGCATCTGAAATTTGAAAGAGGCGCATTAATGGGAGAGCTAGTTTTGAATTTCGCTGATCAACATTAGAGTTAATTTTCTTTATGTATTATTGATATTCGAATTATGCGTCAGGGTCAAGGTGTTAAAAACAGCTTTGCAGTATGGCGCATTTTAGAAAAAAACCTTTTAAATTCACCAAAAATCCTCTTCTTTGAAAAATACCTCTTATTCAACATTGCTCCTGTTTGGCGTTATTAATACATTTTGATTCAAATAAACTGGTGCGCTATAAATGAAAAGAACTAAACGTCTTAAAACCTTTTCCAAAATTATGTCATAAAAAATTATTTTTAAATCAATTTGTAGTTATTTGCAGTTATAAATAAAATTAAGATATGAAATTATCTAAACAGCCATTTCAGCTACGAAAGCAAGAAATTAATTAAGGAAACTTTGCAAATTTTCTATTTATTAATAATAAAATTCTCAAACATTAGGGGTAAAAATCAAAAAAATAATTAAAAAAGAGTTTCTTATCTATGATTTAACTTACAAGTTGCTAGGTTCGCAGGCAGACGTGTGCCAAGCGAACCTAACTGCTAAAAGTTTCCTTTCTTAGTGATGAAATAAGAACCTGCGAAGCACTTAGGCGTATTAGAAACACCGAAGTATTCAATCATTTTATAGTTAATTATGACAAAAATTCTCCAATTACCGACCTTAATGCTATAACTACTGCGGTTGTCAGGCTTTGAAACTGGAAAAGCGGTTAGTAAAGCCAATAATTGACAATTTCTCGCGTATCCTTTAATTCCGAAATAATTTTTTTATTTAATTTTTCCCCCACTAAATCTATTTTTTATTGCTGGAGCATTTCAATCGCTCGTATCATTGTAGCAATATTTAATCGATTTCAATGAATCGCCTACACCAAAGAGTGGTCCGTTTTAACTTTTCTTGCTTCTAATTCCATTTAAATATCTAAATATATAAAATAATAATGAATTATTTTCTCTTTTTTTATTTGCCACCACAAATGGAACACAGAAGACAGGGGCTGCTGATGGATAGAGAGAGGTGTATTACTTGCAAGAATGCTACCTTAATAATCCTTGACTCATGTTCAATAAGCTCTTTCAGCGATGTAGCTGAGGAAGACGTTTATTGAAATTATGCCCACATCAAGCGTACGTAGTAATTGAATACATTAACATAGCTTGCATGAATCTTAAAAGCTAACTAACTGAGAACTCCTCTGTACGCACGGCCACACACTCCAGAATGTTCCGGTGCGCAGTTTAAACATACTGAGGATGCATACTCCACAAGCTCAGAGTGGGGAAAGATATAGGGCAAATGAATGGGAATATTGATCATTCATAGTGGTTGCGTGTATGTGCTTTTGTAATTCATTCCAAGTATAGGTTTAATGCTTGGTCTGTAGGTGAATAGGTGGAATTCATTGAGAATTGGACGACCAAATTTCTAATCGGATTTTTATAACAAAAAATAACAATGAACATGACACTAGGGTTGTCCAAAGTCTACATTGAATACCTGACGGAGGGTTGAGACCGGGTTGTCAAACAAGCAGATATTAGTTATACTCCTAATTATAAACCTATGGTAAATCAAAAGTTTCTCTTCGAATTGAAACTAAACTAGAAAATAGTAATAACTTCTTTAAATATTTAATTATCCTGAACTTTAAGTACTGTTCTTTAAATGCATGTCATTATTTCATAACTTGCATAATTGGAAAAAATATCCTTTCAAGAAAAATGGAGCAACTTTTGCACTAATTATTCAAAAAAGACAGCCAGTAATTAAATATTAAGAAATTTATGAATTATGGACTTTTAATCAAGTAATTCTATAGTAATCTGGAATTGTTGAAGATTATTAAGTTACTTTAATTAATTAAATATATTAACATCCAGTTGCATCATTTTCTATCAATCTCAACTGAATAGATATGCCTTTGCACACAAGTTCGCCCTTGAAAAATTTTAATGAGCTTTTTAAACTAACTTGTGGGCCCATGAAATGTAACAGGAAGTTTGGCCTTGAAATTATGGTAACGGAAAAATCAATTCGTTTTAAAGCAGAAGTTGAAGTCGAAATTAAAAGCCCAGGTAGAACTGCTACATTACATTTTTTCTAAGTCGGTAAACAGAATTTTTGATGAAAGGTTAAGGGAATAGGAGGTAGAAACGATATCTTGAGAAAAACCAGGATATCGAAGCATCTAATTTCATTAAATTTTGTGATGCTGAAATGTGGTCTATTTGCCTACTGTGTGGTTCACTTTCCCAACTCCAAGTAGCACTCCTCACTATCCAGAATTAGAGCAGATTTTAATCAGCGATGTCAGACGTTTATTGCTATTTCAAATCATTTTCTACTCCTGAGGATAAACAATCTGCATAATTTTATTTGATCGTAAGAAGTTTGCACCACCCCAAAATAACAGATTTCAAAGGTTAGGTTTGATGCTATTAGAATTAATTTTGATTAGCAAAACAAGACTCAGCCTCTTTCAGTCATCGGAAAGCATTGAAATAAAATAGTAGAAAACGAGGCCGATAAATCTATTTCTCGGTTTGATCGATATACGTTTTGGTAATGCTCAATTGTATTATGATTTATGGAGAAGATATAAGCAAAGCACTGACTAAAGAAAAGCTCAAATATCAGATTATGTTTCTTCCATTTTCTCTAATAGTTATGTTTTAATTCATTACGTTATTTAATAATCATTATTGCCATTTCATACAATTTTACAACCACCCTCTTGAAGCAGGCAACCATGTCTGCAAGGATGTCTCTCTAATTGTGGAAAGTCCATTTTCTAACCAAACACTATTTGATTAAACGCATTTACATGAAAGTAAAGTAGTACCAATGACAAGCGATGATGATGATTTCATAATGAAATTATCGAAAGCTTCAAGATCCCTCTTTTAAATTCGTTGGTCTTAAGGATTATCAAGACTCGTCCAGTTGTGATGGTTTGAATGCTGGTCAGAGGGTCAAGCAGATAAGATAAAGGTTAGGGGGTTGCACAGCTTAAATTGCTGCATGGCAACAAAAAAGGTGGAAGGGCATGAGGTAGACAGTTAACTCGTTTGGTATAGTTCATGCATTACACAACCATCTATTGATCAAGTGAAGACAAACGCTTGTTAATTTAGGCAAAAATATGCCAATTAGGTTAAGTCAACCTGAAGGTCACTAACGCACGCGATGATGAAAAAGCAGAGGAAGGGGAGGGGTTCACAAAATCAAAACCACTACAGTTGTTGGTTCTTACAAAATAAGACTATCAAATGGATGATGAAAGGCGTCAATGTAATTGCAAAGTTTTGCGGGCTAAGCAAATAATCAAACCCCTACTTGGGCTTCATCCTGAAATCTTCAGTTTGCCTGTATTCTTATTTAATTTCCTAATGACGTAAACTATTTCAAACCCTCGCTTGGTGAAACGTTTTCATATAATTTCTAAAACAGCCTTTGTTTCACACAGCCCATGTAGTAGCTAACCATGAGACAATCGATTTTCGGAATTTCTGTGCTTCGTTAGTATCTCCTCATCCCACACCCACTCGTGAAGAGGTGATGAGAGTAGGAGACCATCTTAAGAGGAATTGGCATCCAAACCGCTTCCTTATTCCCACAAAACACTCGCTCATGTCAACAATGCGTAGTATATACCAGCTTTCCAAAAATGAGATTTTTTGCAATTTCCAAATACAGACAATTGTGAATTCTATAATTTTTTTTCTACTTTATTAACACAGCTTCAAAGTGTGTTTTTGTTCAATCTTCGTCAGCTTTGATTGAATATAAAGCATCTACATTAAGATAGCTATTTTATTTTCTGAATATAATACACCATAATTATATTTTCCTAGTGTTTTCTCTCACCATTTCTTATAGTTATTGTTGTATGCCCTAAAAATGCATTATTGCCTTCCTACAGGATGATAATATTTTTTATTTCAAATGGAAGGCGTTTTGATAGTTATCATTAGCCCTTTAGCTGACTTCGGGCTTCACAGAGAAGAGGAGGGACATCTAAGTGACAAAATGTCAAGGGGGGAACAGAATAATGATTAACAGAATTAAAAGAGACAAACAAACATAAAGGCAGAGAGAAAAGGTAAGATGGGTACTGTGGAAGTTGTCGAAAATGGCATTCAGTGGGGTTCGGAGTCAGAAGTCAACTGCCAAATAAAAGACTTTTTGCTTTGAAGTCAGAAGTCAACTGCCAAATAAAAGACTTTTTGCTGTATGAGTATGCGTTGCCCAGGGTGCACCACGTGGAGGTAAGACTATCCCACACCCCACAGGATGATAATATCTAGCTTTAAGCTTTGCTGTGTTAGAATAGTTATTCTAACCTTAAGCAATTCAAAGAGAAAGTGCAAGAATCCTGAGTTCCAAGCTTGATAGTCTTCTCCCAGGGCTCAAAAGCGTATCAATAACTAGTCAATTGAGTTCAATTGTAATGTTTTGTGAACTGTTATCAGTTTGTTTTAAGTAAAGATTGCGCTTGTATCTACATTATTTCAGGACACAAAATTTATCGAATTCCCTTTCATACATACCCTGTCCTTACTTGTGATTATTGTCATACCTTCCGAATTTCATGACATAACATGACAAAATGCGCTGATTTTTTATATGCAGGCTTCAGGAAACTTTTGCTATACTTTGTAAATTCATTTTCAATTTCTAGATAGATCTCCTGTAATAAAAGGGTCAACTTTAATCATGCTAAGAGACAGCAAACAAAACACACAATTTTATCCTAAATTCCGACTAGAATTTATGTCATAAACATAAAGTAAGCAAAACAGTGAGTAGTATATTCAATGAACAAAAAGGCGCTGAAAATAACTACAAATAGACGGTGCCCTCGGTTTGTAGCTCCTCAATGGCTTTCATGCCATATGTATAGAAGTGGACAAGAGCTTTGGTGAATTTTTTTCGATTTTTCGGGGACTGGTTGGGGTAAAAGAAGTTGGGATCGGCCTTAATAAATAATTATTATGTCATAAGGGAGAAAACCGAGCTTACCCCTTTATCAAGGATATCATTTAGAAGGTTGTGGTTCTTTGAATGGATTGCATAGCACATAGCAGCATTTAGCAGTGTAGAACGATCGATTTCTTCCTTTGGAGTCGCAGAATTATCAGCGCTTTCACTCATTGCAAATAGGGGCTGCCTATGACTGTAGTATTAAATTTATGAGAGAAGATTAGAGCACTTTTATAACTTTTCGCTCACCTATTAAATTGAGTGGTGTTTAAGTGCGAAATGATTATTGATCGAATTTGGGTTTTAATGAGAAAGTAGAATGTCTGGAGTGGGCGCTTCCTTAAATTTAGAAAAATTTCTTGTATTTGTTAGTCCGGCTTCACAGTTAAATGAGACTGAATGCTATGCACTGGTGGTAGAATGTACTCTGGCATCTGATGAACTTCAGAGCTGAAAGGAGTGTGGCCATGTCCGCTAATCGTCGCACTTCTGTAATTTCAAGGAAATTTTCTGCTACCGGACAAAGATCATTTTCAACAGAGATGCATTTAGGTGCTTAATAAAGACACAAAGAATGCATAGTTCTTAGCTTGAAGGCGGAGGACATGTTCTTGGTTTTTCTGAAGAAGTGTCAGCGTTTCGAAGTTTCTACTGAGCGCAGCCTATAGTGATTATATCGTCGAATTATTCAGCAGTGTCAAAGAGGCAAGATATCATAATATTCGTTGTTCATTGGAGAATAGCAAATGCTGTTTTGACTCCGAATGGAAGGCTGATATATCGTTATAGATTGTAATGTGTATTGATTTTCAGTAACTCTGGTGTAACTTCGATTAGTAAATAAATCTCTGCGACAACCACGGTTCATTATTGGGAGGATCACGTCAGGAGGAATTGTCCATGTTTTTAGTTTAGGTGCAATTAATTTCTTAAAGAGCCTTTCTAGAGCTGATTTCCAGATTCCTAGTATACTGGAATGGCTGGGCAAACCATGTCAATTTATGTGTACCTTATTTTGGCTTATAGCAGAGATTAGCCGCGATTTCTAAGCGTAACCCGCCTAGTCTTAAATACTGTGAATGGATAAAGTAATCGATTAATCATAAAAATCGATTAATTAAATCCGAGTTTCCAACTAATATGAAGCATATTACTAAAATGGCCTTATAAACGTACCAAATCAATCACAACTCCATAATTTGGGCTAGCTTCCTCTTATTTGCCTAATTTTCCCAAGCAGTTGCCCAAGATTTTAGTATACGACAGGAGTTATGCAAAACGGGCAAATAATTGTTTCAAATTCACTCTATTTGGCTTCAATTACTTTTAGATGACAGTATTCCATTTTAACCAACAACCAACTTGTGAGACACGTCATCGCCTAACGCGTGGTCGCTCGCGCGCACAACCAGTGGCAATTGGCAACGTGGCTTTCGTTTGTTTAACCGAATCCGCCATTTTGATTATGACTAACATTCCTAAATAAACGTGTTCCATGTGATACGTCTGTTTCCTCCATAGCTGAGTGGTAGCTTAGTTAGTTCTGGGAGTCTAGTCAGATATAGGAGATTCGGCTACAGAGATTTCTGAGTCAGTGAAGGCTTTACTAATGCAACAATACTCTACAAACTCTATATTTAAGCGATGATTAGAATCATTACGAAATGGGGAAAAATTAGGCAGCTTTGATCAAGAAGACAATAAAGGCAGTCTCTTGTGGTTCGAAAATTCAAGTAATATTCGCATCATCAAGTATGGCCGCATAAATAACCAAACTCATTACGACACAGATTTCATATGGTGACCCTTTATGCCTTCGAAGTATTTTAAAGTTTATTTCTGCAACAAAACAATAACCCTTCTGGCATAATTTTCTATCTTTGTGAAACACGCCGACATCTTCCACAATCTGGTCTGAGTAATCTGTACAAATCCTAATGACCAAAATCTTTCACCCGTCATTAAGATCATTTGTTTCAGGCCGACAGATGAGTTCAACTTTTAAAGTAGAGGCTTCAAGAGAATGTCCCCATCACCTTTAAAATTAACCCGTTTTTTGTACTTTAAAAACGCAAACTTTAAACTCGCAATTTTGAAGATAACTTCTGCACTTTTCGTTAGTAGACTACTCACTTTAGCACAGCTGAGATATTATCAAAATATCTGAATATTATTATTTCAAATGGCAGGCGTTTTGAATAGTTATCATTAGCCATCTAGCTGACTTCGGGCTTCACAGAGAGGAGGAGGAACATCAAAGTTGGAAAAATTCGAGAGGGAGAACAGAAGAGTGATTCTCAGATGTAGAAGAGACAGACAGACACAAAGGTAGAGAGACATACAGTGGGGTCATGGTAGTTTGAAGTCAGAAGT